ACTGTTACTGTTACTGTTACTGTTACTGTTACTGTTACTGTTACTGTTACTGTCATTGTTACTGTTACTGTTACTGTTAATAGTAATGTTACTGTTACTGCTAATGTTAAAGTTTGTTCTTTTTCATGTTTATTCTTTATTTTAATTTTTTTATTATAGAAAATACTCAAAATTTGTTGCGATCAACGAACCTGAGCCTACGTACCCGATCGCTGGTGCTCAGCTGCGATTCCATTGCGTTGATGTCCGACTTGAGGCGCATCATTTGCGATTCGACGCGTGCATTTTCGCGCTGCAATTCTGATATTTCCGCTTCCAGAGTGTTCAGATCGTCGCTGCCGCCGGCCACATTGACGGACGTCTTATCGCCGACGCCGCTGTTGCTGTTACTGCTGCTGTTATTGTTGTTGTTGTTATTATTGTTGTTGTTGTTGCTGCTGCTGTTGCTATTGATGCCAGGCGGCAAGGGAACGCCGACGCCGACGCCGACGCCAACGCCGCTCATAACAATATCCAAGCCGCTGCCGCCTAAAGCAGGAAGAGAGCAGAAGGCGTGATGTAAAGCAAAGAGCAGACAGGGAGAGTGAGACCGAGAGTGACAGAGAGAGAGAGAGAGAGAGAGAGAGAGACCGAACGAGAAAGAGAGAGAGAGCGGGAGAGAGAGAGAGAGAGAGAGACTTGGCATTAGTGATGGACGCTCGCTGAAATAGTTTTTGTTTGTTTTTTTTTTTACTCTTTGATGTGGAACTCGATCGATATTAAAATATAAATTTATTTTTCTTGTTTTACAAAAGCTCTCCACGGTTGTCTATGTGCGCGTGTGCTAGCAACTCAATTGGAGCTTTCATGTGTGTGTGTGTGTGTGTGAGTGAGAGCAAGTGAGCATGTGTGTGTGTGAGTGTGTTGGTATGTGTGTGAGTGAGATAGCAAATATCACGGCTTACCTTGGGTTCGATTCTTGTGCAATTTGTTTGTTACTTAAATTCATTTTTGCTTGTGTGAACTTATTGTTGTTGTTGTTGTTGCTGTTCTTGTTGTTGTTGTTCTTGTCTTTTTTGGTTTGCTTTACTTTTTTTCTTATTTTTTTACATATTTTTTTTGTTCTTTCTGCCTTTTGCTTGTCTCTGTTCTATACTTAAATACTCTTGAGTTTCTTTTTTTTTTGGTTTTTGTTTTACTATTTACAGTAGATACTCGGCACCGATACAAAACGTCGCGTAATCTAAAAGAAATCATTTGCCAAACAAGCAAAAACCATGAAACGAAACGAAAAAGAAGAAGATAAACGGATTTAAATAACAATTTGTGAACGTTTGCATACATATTGGTGAATATATATAGAGTTTTCGTATAGTATAAGCGTTAGTTAGTATTTTAGTAAGTGTATCGGGCATCGAATTAATGTTATGCACCGGCTTTCTATTACATATGTTTTTCTGTTATTTTTGTTTTTTTTTTTCTGTTACTTGAGTTTTCCTTTGGCCCTGTCGTCTGTCGTAAGGTCAATTTTGGTATATTTTGGTACGCTTGAGCTTGTTTGCAGAATAAAACAAATGCACGCATTTTGAAATGAAATTTCTTTTTGGTATATTTTGGTATTCTTTTTTTCGTATTTTTTTTTCTTTTTTGTGTTTCGCCTGGCACATTCCGAAAAACCGAAACCATAACCAAAGCCAAAACGAAAGTATTTTCTTTTTCTTTTTCTTTGTTTGTTGTTCTGTTAGACGTTAGCACACACGCACACAAAATTCCAACCGAAAATGTACAATACGAGAGAGCGCAAAGACACACAGAGATAAGAAGTGTGAGTGATAGATAGATAGAGAAAGAGAGTGAGAGAGAGACAGAGATAGAGAGAGAGAGAAAGAGAGCGAGTAGGAGAAATTGCAGATTCGAAAGGGCAAAGCACAAATTTCTAGAGCATCATCAGAATCCATTTGTTGGTATTTAAAATATACCAAATACAACGAGAACATGTTATATTTAACTCATAATTTTCATTAAAATTAAACTTTGTTTCAAATTAAGCTAAAGTCATATTGAGTTTATATATGATTCAGTTGAAACATCTCTTAAATCATAAATGATTAATATTTAAATGGGATTTCAATTCAAAATTGACTCGTATTTCAATTAATACTTGAACCATATTAGAATCATGATTCATACTTGAATTATATTTGAAATATTTTAGTCATATATTACAATTATATAGCACATTATTTTTGAATCATTATTCAATGCATATTTGAATCATATTTTAAATCATAATTCAATCACATTTCAAACCATATTTTCATCTAATTAAAGTCCTCTTCCATGGCTTGAATCAATTTTGAATCATTTGACTCATTTCGAATGGTTTCTGACTATGTTTTAGCATATATACACCGTATATAACTGCATATATCATGCTCTGCTTGAAATTTGAGCTGCTTTCCGCTGCTTGTGTTGGCAACTTGATGTACATGTTATGATCCCCCAGCATTTGAAGAAATAGTTGGGGCATTATAAGCACTGTAAGCCCAGGTTCATAACAGAAAACCACGACAGAGACTTGAACTGTGTTAACAAAATGGCCATGAGAGTAGGCAAAACAGATATAGAGATAGGAAAGATCGAGAGAGAGAGAGAGAGATAGAGCAAGAGAGAGAGAGAGAGAGAGGAAGAGGAAGCTTGAAAGTGAGCTTTGGTGCTCACACTTACCTGTGTAGCCTTTGGGATATACCATGGTAACCTCATCGAACTTGGGCTTCTTGATGCCTTGGCTGCCAACTGTGGTGCAGGCTACAAAATAGAAGGAGTATCAAAGAAAGAGAGGGAGACGGAGAGAGAGAGAGAGAGAGGAAGAAGAAGAGGCGAAAAAGAAGAAGAAATGTGAAGAGAGAGAGAAAGAGAGGAAGATAATGAGAAAGAAAATGAGAGTTAGAAGAGTCAAGTTAGTTACAGATAATGAATAAGCGAATGTGTTGATCACTGATAACTGATCATTGATCATTGATCAATGATAACTGATCATTGATCATTGATCAATGATAACTGATCATTGATCAATGATAACTAATTATTGATCATTGATCAATGATAACTAATTATTGATCATTGATCAATGATAACT